TTCAATGTTTAATCAATATTATTAAGCACTAAAAATATAACAATTAACAAACCATGTCCAGCTTTTCCAACATCAAGAAGATCTTTAGAATGCGTTTGTTGGATCTCCGACATTTCGCAGCGTGGTCAGTATAGTGCATGTGTTGTGTGCACGTGTGAATGAGGATTGTTTTGATAAAAGTTTCTAAACCGTACGTACACAAAAGATATTAGTTTGATGAGCTATAGAGGGCGCGCTTCCATAAACTTGTTGCACGCTTTCAAAGATCGTATCCGGTTTGTAAGTGTGACGTCATCTCAACTTAGCCATACAGTACACTAGTGTAGCATGGCACCAATGGAACCGGAAGTTAACGCAACTTGAGTGTTTATCCAATGGGCGCTCGTAATCAGTGGTGCGTGCGCGTGTATGACGAAGTCACTTACGAACCGGATAGGACAGTCCGCTCAAAAAAGTGAAACAGACTTTAAAAAAAAAACCCGGTCATGATGGGTAGGGCGCCACAGCTACGCCATTTGCCCGCCAGCATACTTTGAGATGGGATTACAGTATGCTGACGACATCACTTGGGCAAGTAAACACGTCTAAGACAGAGAAACACCTCATCAGTAGAAACGGAAGCAATACCAGTTGGAAGAAATGCAAATACTTGGGATCTTTTCTCGACACTGAGCAAGATATTACCAGGAGGAAAATACTTTCCATGTATCTTTCAACAAATTCAGGAATGTCTTCAACAGTGATGCAATCTCAAACAACACGAAACTCAAAACATTCCGCGCCTTCATAGCATCTGTATTCCTATACAACAGCGAACTATGGACATTGACTAAGTCACTAGAAGAGAACATTGATGCATTTCACAGAAGACTCTTGCGTTCAATCCTTAATATAAAATGGCCCAAGAAGATCACCAATAAAGAACTGTACAGGAGAACCAACGAGATCCCTTGGAGTGCTGCCATTACCCGAAGACGTCTTAGGTGGACAGGCCATCTCCTGAGACTACCCGAGGAAATTCCTGCCAAGCAAGCACTTTTAGGCAATCCGCAAGAACAAGCTACCAAGAGGGGGACAACGAACCACGTGGCTGAAGAGAGTAAACAGGGACCTGACAACCACGGGGGTCAACATCAAGGATCGATGCACGTGGCACGTGGCATCAGACTAGAACAGTCACGGTGGAGAACACTTACTGGCAGAGTGCGCGATATGTCAGATCAACTTGACGCAAGCGCCTAGATGAGATGGTAGGGCGCCCCTAGCAGTAGATAGGTAACAAGTGCGAGAGTGCACAATAAGGCTGGCCAAGTTCGGGCAAGGACCATTAGTCGACTAGTGGTTGATTTGTGACGTACCTTACGCCTGCGCACTAATAGCAAAGTGCGAACGTCTCTAGTCGAACGCTGGTCAAAATGTCATTGCAAAACGTCTAGATCCTGGCTCCCTGCTGTACGTTATGAACGCGCGCGGCTATGGTTACCAGCGATGCAACCAGCCCAGTAGGTTGGTTCCAAATAGTCGACTAGCGTAGTCAACCACCGTCCACTAGACCATGGAGCTGTGTTTATAGCTCCATGACTAGACAGAGTTCGGGCAAGCGTTAGTCGACCAATGGTTATAACTCCTTGCGCGAACTTGCCCCTTCGGGCAAGGACAACCTCGTACCCAGGGTGTCGAGCAGTACGCGCCCATCACTACCTGCTCTCTCACCCAGGTATTGGATTATTTGCATGTGCAAGATTTTTGAACACGTATGCAAATGAGGAATAGTCTGGTGCCTGCATGTGCGTTACATTAGCGTTTGTTTTTGTATGCGGTGTCTGGGGTAAAAACAGAGTCAATTCGTAGCAGCGCGAGCATGGCGTGAGTTACGAAAACACGATTTTTATTCAATTAAACTGTTACAATCTTAACGAAACAATATGCAGTATCACATTTCATATTAATATTTACAAATTGGAAAGGAAATGAATTTTTTCGAGAAGGCGTGGACGAATGATCGCGAAAACACGTACTGCACGTTGTAATGATGAGTGAATCATTACTGGACCAAGCCCAGTCTAGTCCTTGCTCTATGGTCTAATGTGGCTTTCGCGATATTCCCGGGTTCGTATTCATGAGCTCCCTACTAAGATAATGGCTATTTAATCAGTTGACGACCATAAATATGTTCGCACATACTAATAAAACAGGTGGGAGTGCAGTGGTTTGTCCTTGATAAACAGTCAGGCTATCCCCAATGTATGTGAGTCTGTTGTCTAGAGCCAGCCTGCCTCCCATCAGAATTTGAGTGACGAGTGATGAGCCAGCTAAGTGCTGGAAAGCTACCTACAGCTTTCGCGCAAGGACCATATTAATAGTCGACTAGTGGTTGATTTGTGACGTACCTTACGCCTGCGCACTGATAGCAACGTGCGAACGTCCCTAGTCGAACGCTGGTCAAAATGTCATCGCAAAACTTCTGGATCCTGGCTCTCTGCTAGCGTTGTGAATGCGCGCAGCTATTGGTTACCAGCGAAGCAACCAACCCCAGTAGGCTGGTTCCAAATAGTCGACTAGCGTAGTCAACCATCGTCGACTAGACAGAGTTCGGGCAAGCGTTAGTCGACCAATGGTTAACTATAGTCCTTGCGCGAACTTGGCCTATGAAAGCCACATTAGACTGGGCTTGGTCCAGTAACGAACACCACCAAGTACACGATAAAAATCCATTACTAGCCAATTGCGGTATCGAATCAGGATACAGGAAGAAAGTTTCCTATCCAGGGTTTACTATTGGAAACCGTGTTGGAAATAAAGTAAGCACTGGGGACGAGGTTGGGGCAAGGACCATTAGTCGACTAGTGGTTGATTTGTGACGTACCTTACGCCTGCGCACTGATAGCGACGTGCGAACGTCTCTCGTCAAATGCTTGTCAAAATGTCATCGCAAAACTTCTGGATCCTGGCTCTCCGCTAGCGTTATGAATGCGCACGGCTATTGGTTGCCAGCGAAGCAACCAACCCCAGTAGGCTGGTTCCAATTAGTCGACTAGCGTACGTAGTCAACCACCGTCGACTAGACAGAGTTCGGGCAAACGTTAGTTAACCATTGGTCAACTATAGTCCTTGCGCGAACTTGGCCCTGGTTGCAGACCAGTAAATACATTTCCGTAGACCTCAATGATAAATTCCCCCACTTCAGAAATTCAGGAAATTCTCACAACTCTCCAAGTTGTTCAAGACGTACATCAAATTAAAGCTTATTTCATCATCTTCTTTTTTTTTTTTTTTTGAGGTAATCTGATGACATTTGGGAGAAATTGCCATCCGAAGATTACCCCTTAAAAAAGTCCTGAAGCCCATCGCCATTTTAGAAAACGATGCCTACACTCCATTGCAAAATAGAGCGCTTTTAGGGCCCCAATTTCATACAAATTTCACAAAAATTCAAATTCACGGTCCGATCCTGTGCACGGCTTCCACCATTATTTTTTTTACAAACCCTCAAATTCATGGTCCACAATAGGCTCAAAGATACGGAAGAATTTGATGGCATGCAAATCGTGATTCTGCCGGCGTCGACATTTTTTTACTGGTCTGCAACCATAAGCTATCAAAAGGATCCCTGCCAGAGCTTAAAAAATGCGACGCCCAAAAATGCGACGCCGATGGCACATATGGAGCACCATACTTTAGATTTATACCTAGATTTATCAATACCACGTGACTATAACATTACTGCACTCCATTGCAAACTTTTCATGAACATATTTCCGAATTATAACAAGCAATTTTTGTTGAGTATTTGATTTATTTTGTTTGCTTTCTTTGAATTTTTTTGATTTGGTGGTTATATTTGTATAGGTTGGGAAACTTAGTGGGTCAATTACTTTCGGGGACAGACATATTAGCAAAATTAACGCGCATTCGCATCGATCATGTCAAAACAAAATCGGTGTTCCGAAAACCATCAGCCAGAGTGTATTTTATGACAGCGGCATTTGGTCAATTAGTCAATTATTTTTGGTCATTTTTCGGGGACAGATAGACAGACACCCACACCGACAGACAGACAGATGGACCGACCGACCACCAAGCGACATGTAGAAACTCCTGCCAGAGCTTAAAAAGCTGATTTTTTTCTTTGGTCAAATCGTGCACGGATATGTTACATTTTAAAGTAGTTTATTCTCTGATTAATAGCATCACTCATAAATTATTTAATTAATTGAATTATTGAATTATTAATAACTTTATTTTTCTTTTTTTTAAAGAGTTTATGTATTTCTTAATTGTACATGTCAAGCGCTAGTGATGTAATGTAAAGCGTTTTCAAAACGATATGAATCATTAGTATACCGTCAAAAAAATGAAAGGTGACATATAAGCATCCTATCAAGTTATGAGCATTGGGTTATACTTAGAAAGTAATATATTCATACTTAATAATATTTTTAAGAAATGATGCAAAAAGCTTGAAGCTGGTTTCCGTATTTGAACAACTTCAGGCAAGTGGTAAACTTTTGAATCAATCGCCGCTAGAGTCCTCGTTGATTGCATTGCCCGGTTACCCCCGTCTCTGATGTCGATAAGCATTGCTAAATTTAATTGAACTATTTTCACTGACAGGCCTACATTAATCCCCCTTTTTATTCTTTCAGACGTTCATTCATTTTTTTCCTAATTTTTCTTATTTATTAAATTATTTCTCGGTGTATTGGCCTTTTTGACGGGTTTCCCCTTCATCAATGAAAATCTCGCCCGCATTTTACACCGTACCCGATGTCAACGTTTACCTATCTACCGCACGGGGGCGCCCTTCCCCATGCCCCAATTGTTTTTCATACGATTCCGTACAAAATATATGCAGTTTACTGTACGTAGGATCTTCGTTTCAGCTGTTGCTCCACGACAAAAGCCTTGATAATTCTTGCCAAAGACAAAGAAAATGGACTTGGTCTCAAGTTTATTAGAGGTTCGGCAGTCAACTATTCGTGTCTGATTCATAGAGCTATATTAAATTATTACAGCTCTATGGTCTGAATCGAGTATTTCACGGCTACGACTTCAAGTTCTTTTCTATACTTTGTGTTGGTGCCCTGCGGTGGAAAAGTCGTAGCCTTAATATTTCGGCAGACGGGCTTTGATTATCAATTCAGTCTGTACGCTTTAGTTCATGAGTCTACGTTCTTCGCTGGCAGTACACGTCAACACACGAGTCCCGATTGATGTTTTCGTTACATTTCTATCCCTTTGTCGATCTCTTTGCAGTTTTAATCTGTACGGGAGGTTGATTACCAAAAGGCAGTCATGACGAATGGTAAGGCTATGTATGTTTCTCGCCACAGGGACAGTGGGTTTACATTTTGGCCTTATTAAACTAACAGTAACATGACTAACTAAGTTAACGATCACGATAATACGCGATTGACATGATTGAGATAAGGGGTGGGGCGATGTTAGGTTGGGGGAGGGGGGGGGGGCTGGCTGGGAGATATTATGAGAGGGGTAGCCCTAGCCCAGGTTAGACGAAGTTTTCATTGCATAACGACTGACGTCCAGGATGAGAAATCTCTACATAATACCATCCAAAGTTTTGACCTAAGTTTTGTTGTGTTTTACCTCGTTATAGAAGCTTGTGTCACGCCTACATACTCTATGTATCCTTATCTATTGATCCGGGGTGGGGCTCAGGAATTCGGAGCAACTATAGAATGCAGGGCCACGCCGAAGCAAGGTTTTTTATTTTGCCTGGAGGCGTGGATGGAATAGGAGTAATAGATCTGCAAACCTGCCAAAAAGTGCTAAGTACAGCGAAGGAATGCACTGCACTTGTCTTCAAAGCTTCTCATGAAGGATCGAAAGGGAGGGCGTGCTTGTAAATGTGTTGGGGGCACTGTCTGGAGCGGCGGAGGCGCGGAGTCTTGGAGTCGCAGAATCGCGGAGACGCGGGGCACTGGAGTGGCCGCAGTGGCGGAGGCGCGGAGTCGCGGAGTCGTAGAGACGCGCACCGATAGAGGGCGCAATTCTCGGCGGAATCTTTTGAGAACGAAGCATCCATATCCATTTTAATTGGGCGGGCCAATTAGGAAGGGGGGGAGGAGGGCGACGGGGCACTGTCTGGAGTCGCGGAGGCGCGGAGTCGGGGAGTCGCAGAGTCACTTTAATTGGGCGGGCCAATTAGGAAGGGGGGGAGGAGGGCGACGGGGCACTGTCTGGAGTCGCGGGGGCGCGGAGTCGGGGAGTCGCAGAGTCACTTTAATTGGGCGGGCCAATTAGGAAGGGGGGGAGGAGGGCGACAGGGCACTGTCTGGAGTCGCGGAGGCGCGGAGTCGGGGAGTCGCAGAGTCACTTTAATTGGGCGGGCCAATTAGGAAGGGGGGGAGGAGGGCGACAGGGCACTGTCTGGAGTCGCGGAGGCGCGGAGTCGGGGAGTCGCAGAGTCACTTTAATTGGGCGGGCCAATTAGGAAGGGGGGGGGAGGGCGACGGGGCACTGTCTGGAGTCGCGGAGTCGCGGAGTCGCAGAGTCGCTTTAATTGGGCGGGCCAATTAGGAAGGGGGGGGAGGGCGACGGGGCACTGTCTCTCAGTGGTGGAGGCGCGGAGTCGCGGAGTCGCAGAGACGCGCACCGATAGAGGGCGCAATTCTCTGCGGCTCCACGACTCCACGATCGATTTTCAGAGGTAGGTCGACTGCGGTTCCACGCCTCCACACAGCCGTACGGAGGCGCGGATGTAGAGTAAAGTGGCCCTGCATTCTATAGTTGTACCAGGAATTCCATATGTGATGCTGACTGACGTTAATCACGAAAATAAACTCTAGAGCAACGTTAAACTTGTACTTTTTGTAGTCTCTTTTCATCAGTTTCTCACCGAATCGCTAGCGCCCTTTTTTGTTTAGTTTTGGTTGGAACAGTGACGTCACTCCAGCCAACCGAAGTCGCGAAAACGCTCAACCAATGGCAAAAGTCGAAACATGTTTCTGGTAACTGTCGCGAAAAACACGCTCGGTCATTGGATAGGCGACTGCGCCTACAAGTTAGTGCGCATGCGTATGAGGGCGGTTACTAAGGAAGTCGCACGTGCGCACTGCACGTTCACGTTGCACGCGCACGGCCGTACGTACGCCATTTACGACTGGACTCGGTACGTGTGAGAAACTGATGAAAAGAGTCTACAAAAAGTACAAGTTTAAGTTGCTTTAGAGTTTATTTTCCTGATTAACGTCGGTCAGCATTGCATATGGAATTCCTGAACCCCCCGGCCCAATAGATAAGGCTACATAGAATACTAAGACGTAAGAATTAGCTTCTCCAACATTCAACAAGGTAAAAATATTGAAAATATTGGTCATAAATTTTTTCGCCCGGTTTTGAGCACTTTCATACCCTGGACTCCCTCCGTAACGTAGGGAGGAAAGGGAGTCCACCTGGGCTAGGGGTAGCCCCATAAATGGGACCCAGCAAATGGGACCAATTTTATGTTGGATTGATGAAAAGTTATGAAGTGGTGAATGATAACGAAGTGGTGAATGAAGTTCATCATGCCCTGTTTTTCCCCAAAACATATTTTAACAATCATTGCCATGCGTGCGATAGTCGGCCATCTGGTTGGTTCCCTGCCCTTACAATATTCAACGTCAGGATCTTTGGCCCTGTCCGAGTGATTCTTGGACTTTATTTCCCTTTAAAATATCCTCCAAAGCCACGGATCACTGAGAAGAAAAATGAAATAGGGCCTACGTCAACAAAAAGTAGGATTTGATTAAAATAAATACCATAAAAGTAAAGAAAACTATTAAAAGAACAAAACAAAGAAAAGAAAAAGATCTCGCAACGCAGATTCAATCACGGGACCTTCAGCATGGTAGTCCAACGTTTAACCAATCGAGCTACCAATGTTTCTGCAATGCCGTAATGATAGCAGTTGAAAATCTTTTACGGCTGTGGCCTGCCATAACGATAGCCACTATGAAAAAAAAAAACTACAGAAAATTACAAAAGATAAACAGCTGTCATTCAATAAATGCAGCGATTACAAATTAACTTAAATTCAAGTTGTGATTGAAAATATCAGGGAGCATAGTGACTGGGCATAATTTCATTTCATGTTTTTTTAATTTTTCTTTGTGATTAAAACCAGCTTACTCCTTTGATGGGCTGATTATCTTTGGGCTACTGGTCATCTGTACGTGTGCCTACATGAGGCGAGTGCCACGTCTTAAGCAGTGGTTCCTGTCGGAGAAGAAAGGGTTCCTTGGGGTGTTCTACAAAGGTAAGATTTTGCTAGAAAAAAGGAGCAAGAACACTGATTGCAACCAAACCAAAACTACTGGTCCTTAGTACGGACCAGTCCTTTGCCTCTAATCCTTCCTCTGGCTGGCAAATCCAGCTACACTATCACAGCAGTTGAAATCAATCAAGTGACTTGTTTGACAGTTAAGGCCAACCAAAAAAAAGTCTCCGGTTTCTGGTATGGAGCTTGCCCAAAAAGTGGTGCGGCGACGCGGCTTTTTTTTTTTTTTTAACCTGACTTTTTTGCTTCAAATGTCGGCCGATGACTGCAAATGGTGCCCGACTAAACTTAGTGCAAATATATGGGAGTCCAGAGAGGCCACATAAAGCTTATTCTCGATCATAACCCCATCTTAACTAAAAACACGTTAAAATTGTGCAGCAGCAGGATTCCAGTCAAACCAGTGAGTTTGGCGGTTTTGAGACATCATCTTTCATGGAAAAAAAACCTTGTTCATTTTGCCGACGCGCATGGCTACGGCGACTCGCGCGCATACCAGAAACCGGAGATTTTTTTTTTTGGCCTAAGGATTCCCTTTGCTAATTTGATATATCTATGCTTTGACTGGAATTGATTGATATGCCAGCTGTACCTACCAGTTACCTCTTTTGTCTGTTGATGAAATTAGAGTGGTAACAGTGTTTACACGAATGTGATCCGACTGTTTTCACGAATGTGATCTCTGTTTTTTTTAGCTGCGGAAAGCAGCTGTAGAAATTATCTTGTCTCTCCGTTGGTTAGTAACAAATGTCAGCAAATGCCTTTTTTGGCAATCAATCACCTTGTCCCTTAGGCCCTCACAACAACACGTGCTTCAGGTCTCCACTACTGACCAGATACAAATTTATGGCAGTTGTGGAAAATTGGGTCACGAGGTCACTCATTTTGCATTGGAAGTAGCACTCTATGCTGCACACAAATTGGGTGTTAAATATGCTATAAAACGTTCCATGCGCCAACTGACATTCAACAAAATAATGGGAATCCTTTTCAATTGACAGTCACGACCACGTGAGAAGTTGTGCATTATAAGAACAGACTTTTACATCATGTACACAGTTTCGAGCTTGTTTTACTAGTCTGTATACCTGGCAGGGGACGTGGAAGCAATTTTTGACTGTGTGGGACTGATCAGACAATAGGAGGGTTTCAATGTATTTTAGATTACAGTTTCTGAAACGGTAATTTATATTTTCTTCTTGCAGCTTCCATCATTGGAACGAGGTTACATCTTGCCGTGGCTGCATCCTGTGTCCTGATGGGATTCTACATACTGTTCTTAAAATGATCCACGCTGGAGTCAACTAACCATAAACTATGATATACTCCTACAGAGGACGGACAGAGTTACCTAATACTCTGTACAAGTTCAGGAACGAAACCTGCTGATTCAGTAGATGAGCTTAGATCCGCTTGAAATAGACACTCAACTCTGGTAACCAGTGCGTTTGCATGCCCAGTGATGCTTCTGGGCAAAGTCAGGACCAGACTGGACAAAATGAGTTCAAGTTCTATGAGAGAAATGACCTTGAATCAAGCATGGTTCTGGTCTCTACACACAAGGACCCCGTCAACGATTACAGAGAGATTTCGGTGGAACATGGAAGGCACTGCTGGCTTACCTGGTACTCGTGCAGAGATGACATACGTTTGTGTACATTTCAAAGTTAGTTAGCGTGCCTACACACCAAAGATGTGTGGACCAGTGCGCACTCTGGTATGCCCTGCACACAGAAATGCTATCCACTGTTTATGAACGGAGTCTATCAGGACTGCCTAAGTTGAAGTGATAGAAACTAGGTAATTTTTCGGAGATCCGGTTGGCCTACGTATGTCTGTTGTGAGAAGCGAGGGTTGGCATGGTTCTAATGAACTCTGTGCATGGTTCTGGTGAACCATTTGTATACTGGCTTGTAAAAATGTTCAGGCTATTTAACTTGGAATTCTGTAGCTCTCCTTGTCTCAGAATCGGCTGTTTATGCACTGGTGTTGATGGCCCAATGAAACAGTTACACACCTATGTTCCGACACACCTATGTTCCGACACACCTATGTTCCGACACCCCTATGTTCCGACACCCCTATGTTCTGACAACACATTTTCCTATAAACCCTAACCAACACAATTTTATGTGTGGGCTGTCGGCACATACATGTAGGGGTGTCGGAACATAGAGCAGTCGCCAGTGAAACAAGGTCCCACAGACTTTCCCCACCTGTGTTGCTTCTGGCATGGTTAGGAATAATAATTGCTGTATTCATAACTGACATGCTGAAATATGCTGCAATTTCAAAGACTGCATCACTTCTGCAAAGGGTCACCTCTTAAGTAACGTAAATATGTGTTTATCAACTCCAAAATTAAATAAAACATAAAACATAAAATGTGTTTTTGGAGCTGTACGTTTATTTAATCCATTTACTTCTGCCAAGCAAAGAGTCGCCTCTTCAGTTATGTAAATATATGTATATCAACTCCAAAATTAAAATAAAACAGAAAACATAAAATGTGTTTTTGGTGCTGTACGTTTATTTAATCCATTTACTTCCTTTTAGTTGAACTATTTTAAAATAATATTTGTTGGCAAAGACCATGATTCAAATGAAATATATATTAAACATTTTATTTAAGTTAACTATACGTATTATTTTACATTTTTGTTTTATTCATGGCATCCAAAACACAGAAAATAAATTGTGGGCTTGCAAGGAAACCTTATTAAATGCAAAATGAGATGAAATTACAAGAGGCTTAATAG